CTCTCTCTCTCTCTCTCTCTCTCTCTCTCTCTCTCTCTCTCTCTCATATCACCTTTCTCCCTTATCACGGTTACTTACTCTCAGGATACTTGTAGGTGTGAGTGATATCCTCCCTCGCCCATCTGCCCACCGCTTTCGTGCTGATGAATTGCCCGATTCTGCGGAGTGACGCGCGAGAGTTAGAGAAGGGGTGGGGGGAACTCGAAGGGGACGAAAGACACGCTCACCCGTAAGCGTCCTTCCGGATCAGCTTCAACGGCTGCGTGGGCCCGTTGTACCGCCAGAACACCTTGTCCGCGTTCACCTCGGCGAACAGGAAAGCGTTGTCGTAAGGGCGTAGGACCTCGCCCCTCTTCACGCCGACCACGGAGGCAGGCCCGCAGCGGTAAGCGTTCTCGCTCAACTCCTGGGGGGTTGCGTCGATCGCCTGCCACCCGGAATACTCCGTCGATATGTCGTCCCGCTTCATCCATACCTCGTTCCACACGTGGAAATTCCTGAAGAGAGAGAGAAGGTGATCCACGCGTGGAAATTTCTGGAGACAGAAAAAGAGAGAGAGGGAGAGACAAAAGGAGGAGATGATCATCCACACGTGGAAATTTTTGGAGAAAAAGAGAGAAAGGAGAGGATGATCCGCACATTGAAATTTCTGGAGAGAAAGAGAGAGAGAGAAAGAGGAATAATCGACGCATGGAAATTTCTACAGAGAGAGAGAGCGAGAGAAGACAATCATCCACCTCGGTCCACACATGGAAATTTCTAAAAAGAGAAAAAGAGAAAGAGAGAGAGAAGAAGATGATTATTACATGTGGAAATTTCTGGAGAGAAAGAGAAAGAGAAAAGGAGGAGATAATCCACACATGGAAATTTCTGGAGAGAGAGAGAGAGAAGACAATCATCCATCTTATTCCACATATAAATTTCTAAAAATTTCTAGAAAGAGAGAAAGAGAGAGAGAAGGAGAAGATGATCATTACACGTGGAAATTTCTGGAAAGAGAGAGAGGAGATAATCATCCATCTTATTCCACACGTGGAAATTTCTAGAAAGAGAGAAAGAGAGAAAGAAGGAGAAGATGATCATAACACGTGGAAATTTCTAGAAAGAGAGAGAGAGAGAAGGAGAAGATGATCATTACACGTGGAAATTTCTGAAGAGAAAAAGAGGAGATAACCATCCATCTTATTCCACACGTGGAAATTTCTAGAAAGAGAGAAAGAGAGAGAGAAGGAGGAGATGATCATTACACGTGGAAATTTCTGAAGAGAGAGAGGAGATAATCATCCATCTCGTTCCACACGTGGAAATTTCTATAAAGAGAGAAAGACAGAGAGAAGGAGAAGATGATCATAACACGTGAAAATTTCTGGAGAGAGAAAGAGAGAGAGAAGGAAATGATCATAACATGTGGAAATTTCTAGAAAGAGAGAAAGAGAGAGAGAAGGAGGAGATGATCATAACACGTGGAAATTTCTGGAGAGAAAAAGAGAGAAGGAGGGAGAGAGGGAAGAAGGAAGAGGGTGGCGGACTTGCCATATAGAGTCGCTGTTCAGCTCCTCCATCGCTTTCCCCTCGGCGTCCACGAAGTAATCGACGGTCAAGCTGCTCTGCGTGTCGTGGGCGCTCGCGTAATTGGTCACCACGCGGCACGGTAGGCCCAGAGTACGGCAAATGGTCGCCAACACGCCCGAGAACACCCAACACTGGCCGTACTTGACCGGTTTCCTGGTCTTGTAATACTGCTGCAGTATCTTCTGCGAGCCCAGCCACTTGGTGGGCGGCGTGCCACCCCCGAAATCGTTCGACCAATTGCCCATCACCGCCCCGTTGTCGTCCGGCGAGTTCACCTTTCGACAAAACCGACCCTTCGCTCGATCGACCATCTCCTCTTCGATGAGGGAAAGGGGAGGGGAGACATACTCACGGCCGCGGAAAGGACGCGCGTTACGACTACGGGATCGTGCCTGGCCGAGACTCGAACCTTGCCGACCTGGATCATCAGGTGCAAAGCGCAATCCAATACGTCACGCTCGAACTGCGAATACTTCCACACGGTCGGCCTTAGACGATTGTAGCTGCCGCGCCATATCAGCCCGTCCTCCGCCATCACGTACTCCTGCCTCTCCTCCTCGTCCTCCATGTAAACCGCGTCCTCTGAATCGCGAGAGAAGAAGAGAAAGAGAGAGAGAAAGTAGAGGGATTTCTCGAGTAAAATACTTTTTCGAAAAAACCGAGGGGAACCGACCTTGGCACCAAGGGTTGAAGATGAGGTAGAACGGCTGCTTCATCGTGTAACTCACCGCCCCGTCCGTGCTCTTGTTCTTCGTGTCGATCTCCATCCTCCACTTGCCTATTATCGCGTCGGGGGCGGGCACGATCTACGAGAGTCGAGGGGGAGAGAGAAAGATAGAGAGATAGAGAGATAGAGAGATAGAGAGATAGAGAGATAGAGAGATAGAGAGATAGAGAGATAGAGAGATAGAGAGATAGAGAGATAGAGAGATAGAGAGATAGAGAGATAGAGAGATAGAGAGATAGAGAGATAGAGAGATAGAGAGATAGAGAGATAGAGAGATAGAGAGATAGAGAGATAGAGAGATAGAGAGATAGAGAGATAGAGAGATAGAGAGATAGAGAGATAGAGAGATAGAGAGATAGAGAGATAGAGAGATAGAGAGATAGAGAGATAGAGAGATAGAGAGATAGAGAGATAGAGAGATAGAGAGATAGAGAGATAGAGAGATAGAGAGATAGAGAGATAGAGAGATAGAGAGATAGAGAGATAGAGAGATAGAGAGATAGAGAGATAGAGAGATAGAGAGATAGAGAGATAGAGAGATAGAGAGATAGAGAGATAGAGAGATAGAGAGATAGAGAGATAGAGAGATAGAGAGATAGAGAGATAGAGAGATAGAGAGAGAAAGGTGACCTCCGATCGGGTCGTACCTTCAAGCGAAGGAAAGCGGAGTGGAGGGAGTCGGCGTAAGCCGGCCAAGAAGCCTCGGATCGTTGGCCGGGGAAGAGGACGGGGGTCGCGACGAGGGTGCCGTGGCCGTATTGCGGCCTCTCGGCCCCGTCCACGGTGAAGACTATCGACATGCCGTCCGTGTTCGGGTCGTAATCCCTGGACAGGGCGAGGTGCAGGTAGAACTCTTGGCCGCGTCTCACGACGAGCCTCGACCCGTCGCCCCGCCGAGTCATCGCCTCGTATCTCGACGTCCTGTGCTTCGCCCCGTTCTCGCCGATGCACGGGTCCACGTCCAGAATCGTGAGCACCGGCACGCTGAAGTCCTCCCCTGGGCAATCCAAGGATCCAATCGATTATTTCGCCCTGCGACCCCATTTTTCACTGTTATCCGCGATGATGATAATTTTCGCGCGTAAGTTGTTGGCAAAGTCGAAAATTTTCCGATCTTTCTTTCTTTCTTTCGAGGAGAAGAAAGCGAGCGTGGACTCGCGATATTAAAAATTTCCCGATCTTCTTTCTTTTCGAAGAGAAGAAGAAAGCGAAAGTAGACTCATGTAATTTTCAAAATTTAAAAATTAATTATATTATTTAAAAATTAAAATTTAAAAATTTTCCGATCTTCTTTCGAAGAGAAAAGTGCGAGCGTGAACTTACGAAATTAAAAATTTTCCAATTTTCTTTCTTTTGAAGAGAAAAGGGCAAGTGTGGACGAAAGTAAAAATTTTCCGATTTTCTTTCCTTCGAAAAGAAGAAAGCGAGCGTGGACTCACGCAACGCGAAATTAAAAATTTTCCGATTTTCTTTCTTTCGAAGAGAAAAGAAAAGAACGAGGAAAGAAAGCGAGTGTGAATTTGCGTAACGATAATTTTCGCGGATTCGTAATTTGTTGGCGAGTTGCCAATTTAAAAATTTTCCGATCTTCTTTCTTTCCTTCGAAAAGAAGAAAGCGAGCGTGGAATTGTAATTTTCAAAATTTAAAAATTTAAAAATTCTTCTTTGTTTCTTTCGAAAAGAAGAAAACGAGTGTGGATTTACATAACAATAATTTTCGCGGATTCGATTCACGTGTAATTTGTTGACGAGTTGCCAATTTAAAAAATTTTCCAATCTTCTTTGTTTCTTTCGAAAAGAAGAAAACGAGTATGGATTCACGTAACGATAATTTTCGCGAATTCGAATCACGTGTAATTTATTAGCGAGTTGCCAATTTAAAATTTTTCCGATTTCCTTTGTTTCGAAAAGAAGAAAACAAGTATGGATTCACGTAACGATAATTTTCGCGGATTTAAAAATTTTCCGATCTTTTTTGTTTCTTTCGAAAAGAAGAAAACGAGCGTGAACTCACGCAACGCGAAATTAAAAATTTTCCGATTTTTTTTTCTATCGAAGAGAAAAGAAAAGAGCGAGTGTGAATTCACGATAAATTTTCACGATAATTTTCGCGGATTCGAGTCGCGTGCAATTTGTTGGCGAGTTGCCAACTTAAAAATTTTCCGATCTTCTCTCTTTCCTTCGAAAAGAAAGAAAGCGAGCGTGGATTCACGTAACGATAATTTTCCGATCTTCTTTCATTC